TATTGAAATATTTTATTGCCTCCCGTACCACACACGGTGGCGATTCGTATTTCGAATAGACCATCACAACCATTCCATATCGCATATTGTGCCATTATCAGCGATGCTTATTATATGACGCGACGCTTACGATGTTAGTCTTGGTGGCGATGATCCTGGTAGCGGTGGTGATGGATGGCTACATCTGCTGAAGTAAAATCTTTAATAATACCATATGTGTATACGTGTATATGCCTGTGTGTATATTTGCACATGCACGTCGATTGTTGTTCAGGAGGAATTGTTAGGTTAGGAAACAAAATACTTTCCCTTGCGCACGGTTGAGGGCATAAGTTACATTGAGTGCGAGCGCTATTCATATCGAGCGATCTCTGGCGATGTTAGCGCCACACGAGACATCATCAGAAAACAGAATGTCGGTTCATTCGGCAATATCTCTTGACCCTTCACAGTGTGAGTTTATGGGACTAAACACCGTACTGTGTTTACATTCACAATTTTAATAATATCGAATAATATCAGTGTAACAGTTACATACGACTGTTCTTATTATTCTTTTAGATTCCAAGCCCGCGACTAAACCGGTACACCAGGAGTATGTGCTACATCAAAGTCGACTAGCAACATTCCGGATGTGGCCAAAGGATATGACACAAAAACCATACGAATTAGCAGAGGCAGGATTTGTTTCAAGTGGTGAGTAAGTTAAATTCCGTACGACTATAATACGCTCGATATACTGCTTTAATACGAGTACGAGTATGTACTATATCTGACATATTATCCATAATGCATCTGTTTTCTTTTTAGGTTCAGGTGACAATGTTTACTGTTTTCACTGTGGAGTACATCTACAGAAGTGGAAGAAGAACGACATGCCTTGGAAAGAGCACGCTTTCTGGAATCCACGCTGTCAATATGTTAGAATGGTAAAAGGTGACAAATTCATAATAAGATGGGGTCCTCTCGAAATTGATTCAGTGGATATGTTAGAATGTTAAAAGGTGACGAATTCATAATAATATGGGGTCCAATCAATCACCGAAAAGGCTTAAACAGTGTATTATGTATAGTCATAATACAACTGTTGCCGACAACAATATATTGTATGTAAGAATCTATAATAAAAAGAAACAATTATATTCATATTTTTTTTTCAATCATTCCACCGTGTAACATTACTAAATCTAGCATATATGATTGTATATATATAATTCGACCTTTGTTTAGAAATACTAATAAGAACGTAATAAAAATTGAGAGAATTATAGTATTGTTATTATCATCATTATTACTATTAATAATATCATCGTTATCAGCATCAGTAACCAGTTATCATCATGGGCAGAGTGTGGAAAAACACCGACTCTATGTTATTCGTAGTTATACTCTTTCTTATGGTCACTATATATGTTGGTACGACAACATATTTATTGAATGCGTGCATACAGGGTCGCATGAACGACGCGGTCAATCTAAAAGGTTTATACGGAGAATTGTCCAGTCGCTTGGCTGACGGTGTTACGCCACAAAAAATGTTTAGCGAGTATATGAAAGACAGCGATGCATTGCTATCGCACACTATCGATCCCTATGTTCTTCCACCGCACCCGGGCCTACTTTTGGAATCGGAACACGGAAACCCTCTTCAGCTGCAGTCACAGGGTCACAAGAGAAAACCTCAGCCTCTGGATTTCGTTCAGCATGAGACGCTGAGACACGATCAAGCCGGCGAAGAATTTAGATATGCGACCGGCGATACCGCCGAGCCCAGTACGGCTTCGATTGCCGTGGTAAAAAAATACGTGGCTGCACTTATGCATACTACCGATAGCATCGGGATTAGCGACGTACGGCGGCCATCGAACGACAGTAGCGACAGACGCGATCGAGAATTGCACAGACTCTTGTTTTCCGACGATGTTCGATTTGCGCCTCTCTACAAGAGCCCGACTGCCGTTCACCACGGAGGACACTGTACCAACCCCATACCGTTCGACGGTAGCAACTGTTCCGAAACGTGCATGAATCCAGAAGCTCGATTGATAGACGGCCCCTTCATTTCGGGAGATCGATTTTACCCTGGCGGTCAGTCGTACTGTTGGAGTGGACCGCCCTCGGCTCTAGGATCGGATCGGGTGCCCCTGAGCGGCAAGCACCGACACAAAGACCGACTGCTTTGTAGTAATACCACTTCGGTTCTGGTCCTCAAAGACGACGGACATTGGACGTGCCGACCGCAATACCCTTTTTTGTTCGGAGGCGTATCGGGCACGGAGAGAAGAGCGTGTCTGTACGACCCCTACGTGCACGAGCCGCCCTCGGAAGCTGATCCTGCCGAGATCTTTAACCTATCCACCCATCTCGTCGATTCGGTGTCGGGACGGACCGTCAAATCGCATTCCGATCTCGTATCTACGGCGTATTTTTCCGAGATGACCAACGCCTCCTCCTCCGCCGATTTCTTAGCAATGGCGAACGACAGAGAATTCTACAGGAAACATTTCATCGGTTGCGATTGTTCGTCGACCGCTCTAGACGTATTCGGCAATAAACCGCTAACGGTGAAACAGTCGTCCAATTTTCTATTTTTTGGACTCGGTGCGTGTAATACAAACCCCTGCGTCATGACGAGAACGGCGGACGGATTTGTCCGCTTCGACGAATCGGACAACACGTGTCACGCTATGGCACAGGGAGAGGATCAAGCCTATCATGTCATTCACGGAGACAAGAGAACTCCTCTCGTAGGAACGTTAACGCCGGCGGCTGGAATAGTGCCCGCTGTCTCGGTAGCGCTACGCAACGAGGGGGTCGCTCATCCCGTAAAACTTAGCGTCGGACCCGAAGAGGCAAGTCCCGCGAACCCCACCGAGTCGCTGGCCGTTCAGATAACCAGACTTGCCTCTCCCGTGATACCGGCCACTAATAACGATTCCTCAAACAAGACGAGAAACGTCATGTACGTTCCCATCCAATCCATAACGATGTGCGGAAGTCGACCGAAGAACACGCTTAGGATTTCCGAATTGTACGACACCGACGCCGGTTGCACTCCTCCCATTTCCATCGGTGCTCTGAAGAACTCTTCACCGATACCGTTTAACGTGGCACCGTATTTTGTAGAACCCATTCCCAATATACTGGCAGGCGCTCTACCCGAAAAACCGTACGAACACGAGCTTTTAGTTCTCGAAGGATTGCGGAACAGTAGATTGGTGTCGGGAAATGTTTTGGGCGGATCGGAGATGCTCTTCTCGCTACTCTTGGCCGACAACGCCAGGGCCAAGATTCACAAATCTCACAACCCGCTCGTAGCTCACTCGGCGGGATACAAAAGACTGCAGAGGATGAGAAGGTTCTACGATAAGGTCTTTCCGAACAGAAGACTCTCGACATTCGAACTCTATCAGAAGAATGTCACACCTGCGGCGGCGGTCGACCGTTTCTCGTCGTGGGATCTAAAATTCCGCGAGGGAGAGGTGCGAAACTTCAGCGGTATAGAAAACATAGACGACACTTTTGTTATAAGAGAAGGTCTATTGCTCAGATCATATCGGGCTTATGCCGGTTGGGCATTGAACGCATCGTCAAGAGCAGGAGTGGATTTCTCCGAACTCTACTACGGTAACAGCAGCAGCAGCAGCAGCAGAGGAATGAAATTAAACAATGCCCAGTTTCTGTTTCCTACATCACATTCACTTTTGCCGAGGATGACCTCGGAATACGATATATTTTCCTCTGATCGCGAAGTTCTTTTTGATCACGAAACCTTTTCTCGCTATTTTACCAAAGCTACAAACGTTAAACTAAAAATATTCGACGACTCGTCGCCAGAGTACAGCGTGTCGCCCTATCCTGTAGGTTCCGAACACGGCTGGGGCGTAAATACCTTTCGGTATCTGTACGATTTTAAAAATAATATATATGCGGATAGTGATCCGAGGTTAAGATTCGATGAATCCGATTGGGTATTCGAGGGCAACGTTTTGCCTGCATCGATCTTCAAAAAGAGTTTGATCGAGTGGGGGCATGAACACGGTCATATAGGCGACGACTGGCTCAGAGATGGTACGGATACAGTCCTTGAATATAAGGGACTCTTGGAAAAGACGAGTATCGTCTCCAGACCTATGTGGTGGACCGCTGTGTGGCCCAGAACCTTTTGGAGATATTCTTCCGATTATTTTGATGTATAACAGTCGTGGTAATAATAAAAAAACAATGGCATCTTCTATTTTATTTCGATTACATAGACATTAATATGATATCCTTTACCATATTTGCTCTTACATCGTACAAGTGAATCAGATTACTAATACATATTATTATCGTCCTGGTCATATCTATTATTATTCCCATGATATATTACATATAATTGACATGTAATACTACTTTCTGAGTATGTAAGCCTTTTCGTTATCGTTACAAACATTATCACCATCGTTAGTGATTCACATATTATACTCTTGATATGTTAACGATAACATATAATAAATCTAGATCCCGTAAACACCATCATAGTGATACAGATTGTATACTTAAACCTATTATAATTTGTACGATTACAATATCAAGGGCACGACCATAATCAAGACATATTCCACATAATACATATAATACTTGAGATATATAATCCATGTCATACAAATAACAGTTTAGAGATAATATAATAGTTAAGGTATAATCCACATCATACAATTAATAGTTGGGTTATGTAATCTATGTCATAGTCCGTGTCATACAATTAACAAATCAGGTATATAATACCGTATCATATTATCATTATCAATATTATTTTTTATTAGCATTATTATTATCGTTATTATTGTTTTTGTTATTATTACTACTATTATTATGTTTGCGTTTCTCTCTCATCTTATTAGTATCGTGCTCGAGAGCACTACCACTGCGTTTCTCTCTCATCATGCTAGTATTATAATCGAGATACCAACCACCAACATTATCATCATAATTGCTATAGTTATAGTTGTAACTATTCACATAGGGTGGTATAGATCGATTTCGAAAATAACGCTGGCGTTGTCTTTGCGGTAGTGCATTTCTTCGTTGCTGCTGATAGCGGTTATAGCCATAATGTTGGTACTCTCCTTGTCTTGGTTCACTTTCTTGTTGTTGCTGGTTGTTGTAGTGGTGGTGGTGCTGTTGCTGTTGTTTTTGGTGGTGTTGAAACTGTTGTTCACCCTGTTCGTGTTGTTGGTATAGTACTTCATTTACCTCTTCTACTTCTCTCTGCATCTCGTCTGGTATCTCAGCTCTCTCTCTCATTATTTCTTCGTTTCCTTCTTCTACTTCTTGGTTGTAATATCGGTTATGATAATGATGATGATGATGATAATGATGATGATGATGATGGTCACGATAGGAGTTGAGATCATACTGTTGTTGATCTGTACTCATCGGAGTACGACGATGATGTTGATAGTGATTAGAATAAAGATATGGATATGAATAAGGATAATGATAAGAATAAAAAGGAGTAGTAGTAGGAAGAAGAGGAGGAGGAAGATGAAGATTATCTAAGTATCTGAACGAATAATTAAATGGAGCATACTGAGAATTGTAATAATTGCATGATCCATATGGTAAATAAAAAGGTATAGGGTAGTTAGAGTGTACTGAAAAGGTATAAGGTGCCACAAACAAGGAACCTGCTGCCAATTGGATTTCTGGTATCTGTGGTGTGTTTGATGAGGCTTGAGTCGTATTGTTCGGTTGTGCTAATGGTGGTGGTGGTGGTGGTGTTGATTGCGTAAGATCTACGACATTTATTTCTGAATCTCTATCGCTCATTGGTTGCGGCGGCGGCGGCGGCGGCGGCGGAGGTTGCAGCAGTGCTAATGGTGGTGCTGATGCTGGTACTGATATTGGTTTTGTTGGTGGAAGTTGCGGTAACAACAATGGTAGAGCTGGGGCTGGTGTTTCTATTGGTACTGGTGGCGGCGGTGGTGCTGCTGTTGCTGATGAGGATGAGAAGGAAGATGATACACTTGATTCCATTACTTGTTTCAGTGGTAATGTTTTTGCTGACGAATTCTTTTGTAAGAGATAAGCCCTAATCGGCTTTTGATTTGTATCCTGATTTATATGTTGCTGTTGTGCCATTGTATTTTTATCCCAATTTATTTGTTGTTCATCTGATTGTTTTCGATCGCTTATCGGTGTTTGTTGCTGAGCATGAAGATTATTGGGTATATCTTTTAATGTCTGTGGTGATGCTACTACGGTATATTTCTTGTTCATATCGATAAGGTTCCTCAAATGAGAACCTGTACATGTCGTAATGTTCATATTGTTTATACCTGAGGTTTCATCATCGTTTCTCTTTCGAAAACCTGTAAAATTATTACTGTCACTAATAATATTGTCGTTATCATTATTTTTACTAGTGGTAGCAGCATTAGTAGTTTTGCTTATACTATCAGTGTTATCATTGTAAGAATATCTCTTTTTACCTTCTTTCATTATCATATGTTCAGTAAACTTATATTTCCTTATCTCCGTATCACTATCGGAGAACTCGTCGTCTATATATCTCAGATTGTCCTCGATACCGTTGTCCTTGCATGTTTTGTAATCAGCTAAGTTGGTATCTGTCCTGTTGCTTTCAGTTGCTGATAATGTGGCATTTTCTATCGATGTCGATGGTGTCGGTTTTGGAACCGGTGACCATTCTTTGAGTTCGCGTTCTCGATCTGACAGTAATTGTCTAATTGCTCCTCTTGTAATCACATTTAGTCTTTTCTGTGGATCTGTAGTATTGGAAGCTTCCAGTATTTTTTTTTCAGTTTCCAATAATTGCTTGTCTGACATGCTGGTCGTTTGATATTCTCTTCTTTTAGCGGAAAGAAGGACAGATTTCCGCTGTGGTGTTCGTCCACAGCGGTAACCTCTGTATCTTGTGCCTACATGTACATAAAAGCGGATATGATATCTCCATCCGTGCCCGGCAATGGAGATGAATTTAATCGATTTACAAAAGGATGGAGTGCTGTTAGAATATATCTTTCTCAATACTTGATATATAATAATCAAAATGTATAATAGAGATATACCAAATTCTCGAGAGATTATTAGATATATGCTCGTACTAATTTATGTTACTGCTGCAATTAAGAATAGAGAAAACTCTCGGTATGTGACAATTACACATGTAAATAAAACACATACGGGCGGGTGGGCTATCAATAACTGCTTTTGAAACATAAGAGGGTGTTGTCTGTTATATGTACATTCCTGACAGATTCTGAAAATGGAAAGAATGAAAATGGAAAGCGATAAATTCAAAGATTGTGCACGGTATCTTGAGTCGGTAGAAGAATCTCTCAAGGTGTGTCTAACTGACGTCGAAAATACTTTGAACAGGAAGGCGAATATCGATGATACTCTCACGACGGATTCTGTACGCGATTCAAACAATACGATAAAAGCTAAGCTAAATGACACTATCAAGATTATTGATGTCGAGACCCAGAAACACAAGAATCATGGAGTAAAATTACAGAACAATATCGAACAGATTAATAGGCTTATATGTAATACACTCCGTACTCATCTGAATGGCACGAAAGCTACCATGTGTACGACTTATTCCAAAGATAATTTTGTGTGCCAAAAAATTGGAGGGACATACGTGTCGTCAGAGGACGATCTATCGATGGGATACCCTGTTCTTCATAAAACGTCTACAAATGCAGTACTACTGTTAAGTCTAGGGGTCAAGTGGAATGAGAAACACGAAACATATACGCTGACTCGTGTGGAGATAGGCAGAGTAGAGAAGAGGGAACGAGACATTTCCATTAGTTCCACTATAATATTCGGCGATGGACCAACAATTGCCAGAGAAGGACACATATCGTACAACTCCACGGCAAATCTCAGAGATGTAATTCCTCTCTATTCTTGTAATGATCTGGACGTTAAGGCATTTTCATCTTACATTACCGTAATGGTCGATGCGGAAAGGAATACATTTTCTATTCAAATCGATAATTGTCCCCAATTGATACGAAATGGCAGTAACGAATCTGGCATATCCATGTTTACAAAATGGACCACTTACACTATTAGAAATATTGACAAGTGCATAAAAGAATTGGAAGAAAAAATATTTCTGGAAAAAACAACAAATACAGATAACAATGAATATTATACGCGTATTAGAGACAGATTGAGCGAAAGGATGAAGATTGCGGAGGATGGTGCACACATACAAAATATCAACATTAAGAGAGTACTAGCATTACAAGAAGGAAGTATGAGAGATGAGGATGAAGAATTATTAAGCACAATAATCTCTTTTATAAAGGAGGAAAAAGAATCCATACTATCATCAACACATCCTAAAGAAAAACAACAGTTACAGGAAGAAGTGAAACACAAGGACGATGAATCCATGAAAAGAAAATCGCTTGAAATACTATTAGGCAAAATATTTAAGACTATAGATTCTGGTGAAGCAGAAGAAGAAGAACAACAACAACAGGTTATTAAAAATAAATCGAGGAATACGACACTTAGTGAAAATCGTTGTAGCAATGGGCATAATGATGGCGAATATGATGAAGATGGTGAGGATGGTGATGATGATGATGACGACGATGATGATGATGAGGAGGAGGAGGAGGATGACGATGATGATGGTGATGAACTTATGGCCTTTGCAGATAGACTGGCAAGGAAAATTCATTGCTTAGGATTATTAAATCTGGTACCGCCTCTCACAACCAAAATTGAAAAGTTTGAAAAGATAAGAGACTTTCCTATGCTGGAGTGGAGTTATCCTCACACGAATTATGAAAATCTTATCAGCATCAAAAAAAAGCATAGAAACAAGAAAAATAAAAGAAAAACTCGGAGGAGTAAGACCATATCATTTTCACTGTTACGAGAAGTACAATATTTGGGAGGAAAAACCAATAACCTAAAGATGTTGTTCAAAGACATTCACAACATGGCGAGCGAGGACGAACTTATAGATTTTAACTCTTGTTATGATCAATACAAACATACCGTAGAAGGCATATACTTAAAAGCGCTGTATAACCACAATCTATCGGAGAAGTTCAGTTGGGATACAGGGTGTAGGATGAGAAGAACGCTGAGGTTGTATATGACAGCGAGTCTTTTCTCGTCACGTTACCCTAAGATGCATAAGATCGTTAATAGAGAAAGAAAGAGATATCTCGAATACATTATAAGATATACACTATTCAGCCTTATCGACGGCATGACAACTAATCACGATACCGATATCAAGGGACGGATCGTTAGAACTATCGTCGACCACCTGTCCGATCATGAAAATATACTAGAATTTACTTCTACGTTAAAGATTTGGATGTGCGAGTTTCAAAATTATACGACCGGACAGTATTGGCTCGATGGTATTTCTGCAACCAACGGCACTCTCGAGAAAGGTCCTACGGGAGAACCATGTGCCCTGTTTACACCCATCGCTAAACACATGAGGGTGATGAAAATAAGAAAAAAAAACATTTGCTTCGATAAAGATTATCTCACAGCAGCTAAAGGAGTTGCTAAAGGCAAGGTATACCAACGACTATCATGCATGAATAATAATCCTCTTCTTCTGATCAACTTAACCACGGGTGAAGGTGTATTGTCTATTGCTTCCTCGTCTGACAGATACGATAACCATACTATCGCCGAAAAGAGTATAGGAAAAATCAATACCATCAATTCCAAACATATCATTAGACCTTTTAAACGCGTCACGCTGAAGAGAAACCAGTCTACGGAGAATATTCGATTCGTGGATGATGGATTCGATCTAGGATTTGTGGACATATTTCTCGATCGCAAGCACTGGATAGAGATTTTGAAGAACAGGGGACTGTTTGATCTGGTAGCCGTGGGGAAACTCACAACAGCGTCACGCGACGACAAAAAGACGAATAGCAGCAGAAAATCCATGATGGTGAACAATGCCAACGCCATCAACATCAAAGTGATGTCTAGTCTTTATGACGAATACGGGAAAACCATAAGTCATATTCCTGACGAAATGATACAGGACATGAATAAACTCTTGGGCGTCGAAGGGTTTCAACGGGCAATACGAGCACAGGCCCCGTCAAAGATTAGGATCGTGATTTGCGATGGCGACGACGTCGTTCCAAGACTTTTAATTGATGTTAATCACTGTTACAGTAAGTGTGATTCGAAGACCATCGCATTTCCGATTAGATATGTTTCGTCAATGTTTACACCAAGATACAATGCAGGGGTAATGAAAAAGCTCGATGTGGGTCCCCCAAAAAAGGAGGATAAAAATTTTGATAGAATAATCAAGAGATGTCAATCGGATTGTGATGATATATCGCGGAGCATAAATGAAGTTCACAAGTGTTTGGTTAAACTGGAACTTAAGAGGCGCAGTCTAGCGTCACGTATACGTGAGGGAAAGGTAAAAAGTAGTAAACGAAAAGCAGATTCATATAACAATAATGATGATGATGATAATAATAATAGTAATGATAATAATAATAATAATATGGAGGGGAATATACATGAGGGAAAGGTAAAAAGTAGTAAACGAAAAGCAGATTCATATAACAATAATGATGATGATGATAATAATAATAATATGGAGGGGAATATAAGAAAGAAAATGAAGAATAAGGGTAGCTTAGAAAAATAAAACGAATAACAAATATGTTTTTGTTTCTCTCACATCATATTCGTTTGACTGAACTGGTTAAAATAAATATATGCGGTCTATTGTACAATAATCATGGTGAAGAAAAAGAAGAAAGATGTATGAGACGAAAGGGAGAATCATGCAGCCAGATGCCAATAAATAAAAGAAAGAAAGTGAAGAATATGGGTATTTACTCAAATAAAAAAATCAAATGTAATAATCTCATAATAAAATAAAAATGCAATAAACTAGAAATAATATCAAGTTTCATTTATATCCTATTCGTTTAAACTAAGCGAGTTTGGCACTCGATTTTCATTTCACAATTCAAACGAAACGCCTTCAATATGTAAATTCGATATTCGAGATTCACAATTCAAAGTTCAATTCACTCAAATTTAATATATCACACGTCAAGCTAAATCAACATTACGACATTCAAAGTAATCGAATTAGACATTCGAATTTCGCGAAACGAATTTATAGCTCAAATCGAAGTTATAAATAAGCGAGTTCGATATTCGAATTTCGCAATTCGAAGTTTGAACAACGCGAGCTCGATATTCGAACTTCACAAATTGAAATTGTAACTATGCGAGTTCGACATTCGAATTTCGAAAATCGAAGTTGCAACTAAGCGAGTTTGACATTCGAATTTCGAAAATCGAAGATGCAACTATGCGAGTTCGACATTCGAATTTCGAAAATCGAAGATGCAACTAACCGAGTTCGACATTCGAATTTCGAAAATCGAAGATGCAACTTAGCAAGTTTGACATTCGAATTTCGAAAATCGAAGGTCTAACTATTTGAGTTCGACATTCGAATTTCGCAAATCGAAGTTCAAAACTACACAAGTTCGATAATCGAGATTCGTAATTCGAAGATTACACAAAGTAAATTCTACATTCGGATTTGATATATCGCATTTCAAACTAAATCAACAATTCGAATTTCGCAAATCAAAGTTTTAACAAAACGACTTCGACATTCGAATTTCGCAAATCGAAGTTTCAACTATCCGAGTTTGACATTCGAATTTCGAAAATCGAAGGTCCAACTATTTGAGTTTGACATTCGAATTTCGAATATCGAAGATGCAACTATGCGAGTTAGACATTCGAATTTCTAAAATCGAAGATGCAAG